AGAACAGATCACATGTTCGGTCATATTTATGCAGAAATATTGAAAATTCAAAAGGGTTCACAAACTTTTAAGCACCACCGTATGCCTATGCACTTTGTCCTAAGGATAGCTCCTATAACTTGGGTTTGGAAAGTCACCCCACTTTTGGGGGTCTCCGCAGGTGCTTTAAAATTTGATTAGAATTAACTGACAAAAGGTGATGTTTTTCCACCTTTATCTCCCACCTAGAAATTGCAAGGGCTAGGGTGCATATAACTCATCTCCCCTACACAAAACAATTTGCAGAACCAGCCCCAGTGGGCGCAGTGCTGGAAACACGTTTTAGTTCTGCAGAACTCTTCATCAGGCATTACATGACAAGAAGCAGAAGAATGGGAAGGAGCAGAAACTCCAGACTCAGCCAAGAGAGCCCGACTCAGCCACGTGGTACTGGAATCTATAAGCACTGACTGAAAGCAGTCAACGTTAAGTGTTTTTGAAGTTGATTCACTCCCAGTCTTCAGAGACAAAGAACACTTTGGCAAAGAGTGCCAATCAAGACTGTGTCAACAAAATCTAACTTTCCCGACTCCTTCCTTGGATAGATGTACAACTCAGCTACTTCCTGCCCACGGGTATATCCATCGGCCTCCCACCAGAACAAAGTTGCTACCAGATTTCCAAAATTGCTGAAAGTAGCAATACACTCGGGTGCAAGAAACTAGGGTCCATAAAAAAAAAAAAAAAAATTGATATTCACAAAGAAATCCCAACAGCTTGCAAATATCAGCTGTAAGCTGCTGGGCAGTACAGCTCATCTTCTCTCTGAATATATTAACATTGAAAAGAATGAATGTCTTCCATTCTGAATTATGGGAGAACGTCCATCCGGTTTTGTGCCATTTTTGTCAAAGGAAAGCAGTAGGAACATCTGCTTTGAGAACATACAGATTATTCAACAAAGCCCTTCTTCACATAGCTGGTAATAATTAATTTCCACATTCACAACATGACGACGACGCCAAACTTAAAATGGCCATTAAGAAGAGAAGTCTTCTGAGCAGGTACAACTGGTGGTACCATCAGACAAAGTTATCTATTATCCTAAATGTGACTGGTGCTCCACAAAAGCTTAAGGAGTAATCAGTGTATTAGCCTTAAGCCACTACAGGACTCTTCAAGGATTTGTAGCCTCTTCACAAAAGATGATGGTTAGCTGTTTCTATCATCAGAAGCAAGGCATCTTTGAGTTCCATGTGTTGGAGATCACTTAACCCAGTGTTTCTCAACCTTGGCAACTTGAAGATGTGTGGACTTCAACTCCCAGAACCCCCTAGCCAGCAA